GGCGCTAATTGATACGGTTTTATTATTATTAATTACAGCATTATCGTAGCCTTTCTACTTTGCATATCACTTGGGTTTTGGACAGTTATACGTAGGAGCCGCTAAGTTAATGTGGTTGTTTTGTAAACGGCTATGAGTATGTATGATGAATGAAGGGAGGTCCCATTTTATCTTTTATTCATTAAAACATCGGGGAAATTTAGGCATATTAAATCAAATAAACTAAGAAATTCTCAAAGATAATTTAAACTCATCATGATTAAAACTCAGTAAACATTACCAACCTTTTCGTAAAAAAACGCCTCCAGTTTGGCTTGGCCAGTTCATTTTTTCGTGATATATTCCAGAGCGAACAATTCATTGGAAAACTTTTGCGAACGATAGTCCACCTAAGCTACAGGAATTTATACAACTCAGACTCTCATTCCAGACGTATTGAAAAACTGCTACAAGTATAATACTACTCCACCAGTTTTAAAATTCGTCTGGATTACGAGTCTATTGCACAAATTCCTGCAGCTTAGGGGAGAGATGAAAGTTTTGCAATGCTTGCTTGTTTGTTTTTTTGAGTCGATCGATCAAAAATTTGTTGTCATTCATCGCTGTCTTGTCAACGAACAGTATTGTGGTTTTTAATCAAGGTTTGTAAGTTTCGTTTGTGAAACTGGAGATAAATTATAGCTAATGTATGATTCGAGGCCTGAAGAAGGAAGGCCGATCCTATACTAAGCTTGGCCTCGGTCTAGGCCTAAAGCTAGGCCTAATTCAGTGGTTTTTTATTTTTTAAACCAACAAAATTTTACCGGTCGGCCGTTTATTTTTACCGGTAAAATTGACGGCTAAACCGGCGTCGGGAGAACACTGACACTTCCTAGACCATGCAGTCTTCAAAATAGAAATTATAACCTTTAGTAATCCACTACATTTTCCACATAAATAGAAATTTTTTAAACTTTATTTAAAAAAACCTAAACCATAATTCACCACTATAGACACTTTTGGACAAAAATGAAAAATTACGACTTTGTTACCCAATGAGAAGTGTTCTAATATATAGACAATGGGTCATGTCTCATATTATTTGTTATATTTTTATTATTCATTATTTTCACTTGACTCGTATAAATAATTTTGTTTGAAGAACATTTATATGCAGTGGTACTTCGCAGCACTTCACTTGCAATTTGCAATTTCTAGTAAATAATAATTAGTTTTTAAATAGTGCGTCTTTAAGTCTTTAGTCTTTAAAGTGCTATACTTTAGCTCTTCTTTACAGTAGCCAGCAAGTTTGCAAAAAACAAGGTACCGGAATACAGTATGCTTAAAGAGTGGATTTGTTACTGCTTGTTGCGGTCTCATTTAAAACAGATTATAGAAATAGGTGGGTCTTGAGTAGTGAATTAAATCTGTCAAGTTAAGATGAATGTTTAACCAAACAAAACCAAAATGAAAAAGTATTGCCAAATTTTGATATCAAGGATAACCCCAATATATGAATTCTTTCTAGAAAGGTTCCGCATAAGCACAGCTTCTGTCAGAATATGCTGTTACAGTGTAAAAGACAAACAGGATCACAAAAAATATACAGTAGACAAACATGGCTGTATGGTGTAAACTTGAATAAAAATGCTAATTTCAAAATGGAAATAAAAAATTAATTGAAACTATTACATATTTTAAGATCATTTAGTTTAGTTAATGTTGTTCAGCTTCATTCAGTAATGTGATTTTATATTGTAATCATTACTCGACAGTATTTTAACTACTTTCTTTTAATTTCTGTTTTGTTGATTACCAGGTACAGGGATGGCCTTGTTAAAAAACACAATTGAGGTGTTTCCATAATTGATGTTACTATATTTTTTTTTTTATAAAATATATTCATTTGATATTTAATTGTTATAGTTTGTCTTGTTGCTCAGTGTTTAGATTGCATTAACTAAGGAAGGGAAGAGGGATAAAAGTTTACCACTGTTTAATGAGTAAGAGGTTTAATTTTTTATATTGCCATATATGGTCATGATGGATGCCATCATGACCATATGTTTTTGTCAAATAAAATTTGATTGTCTGGACAGATCTTTATGTTTTAAGTTAGACACACCTTCAAGCTACTGAATATAAATGTGAACTGTTCTGTAAGACTACGCAAATAAACATTTATTATTAATCGCCTGAAGAAGCATACTGTACAATAAAGGCAAAGCACAGTAAAGTATTAACTAATCTTTAAGTTGTTGCCAGTTTCATTAAGATTATTGTATTTGGTATCCACTGACTTTTCTTTGAACTTCAGTTTTGTGCATAATTAGGAAGGCTCCATCATGTGCGAGATCCTAGGGGAAAATGTTTCAAACCTGAATTTAATTATTGCACAGATAAATCACATTATTACCCCATTCATTAGGATAAATGCATGCATAATGGCTAACTCAGACAGTGTCGTACGACACAGCCCGATGCGGTTTGTAGGTGTGTCGGGTCTGTGAGGAGTTAAAACACTGACGCGATAGGTCTGCGTCAGGAACAGTCGCGTCGTAGAATATTAAACATGTTTAATATTTCTCACAACGGCTTAAGACTGTTCCCCGACAATGAATCGCATTTGGCCTTGTCATACGACGCTGTCTGAGTTGGCCTTTATACGATGTACTTATACGTCTGTAAACGACTCCTGTATGGTACCCGTAACTAACACCCAATGTTAAAACTTGAAACTAAATCTTGGTATTATGTTTCTATGGGCTGAGGGGACAGCTGATTGTGATCATACGCTTCATTACCTATTGAAACTAAGCTTGTGGAACAGATGGCATCGAACAATGGAGCCCCCATCAATCTATAGAATATCGACATTGTGGTCAACCTCTGACTCACAAGTCCAAACATCTCGGTCATGTACAAATCACTCCATGTTGGGCTAAACCTGGGAAAAGAGCTCTTTCCAAAGAGTGTCAGCATTCTCTAATGTATATGTGTGATATTTTACAGTCACCAACGGCTTAAACTCCTCTTGAAAGATGACTGTTACTTACTGAACTTGTACAAAATATGCAAGTTATGTCACAAGCATTGGGTTAAAGATGTGCCAATGTTCACAATGTATTTGTTGTGTACAGTATTTCATTACCACCAGCAACTAAAACTTCACAAAAGAAAAACCAAAGATAAGTAGGTCTATTGTAATTATTGTCCATTACGGGCATGAACATCCAATATTGTTAACCAATAACCTACATAACATTGCACTAACTAAAATATGGAAATGCCAGCAATTACTGTAAATGACCAACTGCAATAATTGTTGCGGTGTAGGGTAGTCTACCTGTAACTTTATTAATAGATTTATAACAGGCCAAGATTAAAGAAAGCCAGCATGATGCTCAAGAAAAATACCCTGGGAAACTAGCCTCAACAAAGACAGCCACCATCATACACAAGATACGGTAGCCTACTATCTGTCTCTTATACACATCTAGATGTGTATAAGAGACAGCNNGTTAGGTCTGAGAGTGCCATTTATCTCAGAGGAGCCACAATTATAAATTTTCACACTTCAGCCTCTGAATTACAACCAGTGGTGGATTCAAGGGGTGCCAAGCCGGTCCAGCCCCCACCCCCCAAGTTTTTGAACAATAAAAAAATAAATAAAAATGAAAACGTAATTATCAAATTTAAGTCTGAGAGTGCAATTTCCTGCTATCTCAGGAGCCATAATTTTCGAACCTCAGCCCCAACCATGGCGATCCTGAGGTGGTCTAGACTCTGCATCTGTGAAGTCCCTTCCTAGGCCCCGATGTCAAATTCCTAGATCTGCCACTGACAACTGTTATCTGGTTACAAACTTGTTACATCAAATAGAAAAATGAGTACCATGCATTTCAGTCTGTAATCATAACATTGTTACATTTCTATTTGTCCTCATCATTCGATCTCATGCTCGTTTCTAATTGGCTAATCGACAACACTGGCTACTCAATGCACCAAATAAAAACACATGGCAATGTTCTCACAAAAAAAAACATGGTACAGATCTTAATCGATTTAACTTCATCTGGGAAAGATAATTATTTAAAAAAATAACAGAATACTAATTAACAATATTGTTTAGCACAATATGTTAGATTCCATATCCATTAACTAACTAAAAAAAAATGTTTTTCAATACCTAAATATGGAATCAAAGATGTATTACACTAAAAGCCTTGGCTTACTATACTGTGTTGTTGCAACGTTGCATTCTTTATCTGGGCAGAAAAAACCTCAGGTAACTTGTCCCTCCTTTGTTATCACCATCCCTCCCCCCCCCCC